ATATATATATATATATATATATATATATATATATATATATATATAATACAGATACACATATTTAAGTATGTGTACACACACACACACACACACACACACACACACACACACACACACACATATCTTTGGGGTCAAAGGCTATATTTCCAGAGTATTCTTGACTCACTGTTTTTACTAGAGGGTAAAGTTACACTAAAAATAAAAAAAGTAAAAATCTTTTTTTTAACCTACCCCAGGAGCTGTTTGTAGTCAAAGAAGTAGCACACACCGGAAAACTGCTTTTTACTGGACCCTCTCTACGTACCAGCCCACTGCAGATCTCTACTTTCTTTAGTCTTAAGATAGGACAAAAATAGCTGCTTTAACAATTACTGGATAATCTAGGAATTAATGGGATTATTCCAAAGTGCTTAATAACTCACAAAACAGGTAAAAAAAAAAAAAAAAATGCTTGCCATTTGTGGAGAATCCTCTCCAGTCTAAGCGTAGAACTATAGACTTTCCAATATTATGTTATGCTTTTAAGTCTCAAACTCAGTAGTTATGGTTCCATTCAACATATTTAAGAGTTTTTAGTGAAAATAGGTTAGATGATTTTACTAAGATCAAAGAGCTAGAATGGGTCCAACTTGGTATTCAACCCAGTGGAGCTTCCAAGGCAGACTTCGGTTTCTTTCTGCTTCCAGATAACACAACAGTATTATTTCACATAATACTGTGTGACCAGGGGCAGGAAGGAATTATCGAGTAGTCTGCTGTGACAAAGAAAATACCTTGATAAAGTCTGTGCTTGTATTTCAGAAACCCTAGGCTTCATACATTATTTTTATAGTTGTTAATAAACCAAGTATAAGATTAAAAATGTTTCAGATGCCAGGCCATGACATGCCACCCCACCAAAGCTTCTAATTTTACTCCCATTCCATTCATTCTCTCAGGCGTCTAAACAAATCACAAATGACATGAAACAGAAAATATGCATGTCATTTGCTTTAGGGATAAACTGGGGAAACAACAGAACACTTTTTGTAAAAATACAGAAAAATGTTTGTCATAGTAGCTAGTTTTCCTCTTTAGGCATTAAGACGTATTTCTGTCTAATCTTAACAAAACCGTATTTTTACTCTTTACAAAAACCATTCTCCCAGTATAAACATGAATATTTCTTATCATGCTAATCTCTAAATGGCATCACTAAAAAGGTAGTTATTTCTAACCTCTTGAACATCCTGCCCAAATGATTTTAATCTCTGGAATGCAGCACTGCTTCGATTGCAATGTGATTTGGTAGTCAATATTCCTCTTTTCCAATAAAAAAGGTTTCATGAGCAGAAACCAGGTTCTTTGTGGCTTCATCGATCGAGAGAACGTTTCTGAGCAGCTTCCGAACAAACATTTCTTAGTAAGTTGATAACAGATCTGGGGTCGTCACTCCTCATAATGGCACTGCCAGACACAATCATGTTAGCTCCTGCCTGCAAGAAGTACACAGCTGTGCGTTAGGAAGGAAGGAAACCAAAACAGAGTCCTGGACTAGTGTTTCCACCTTGCCTCTGACTGACAGCATTTTTCTAGAAGCTGATGGCAGCACTCTAATTCACTGAGTTAAAAAGGAAAATGCTTATAAATGAGGCCACACTATTATCTGTAAATGAGTCTGCCAAGTCACTGGACTGTGGGGTTAACTACCCATAAACTGTACACAGTACCTCTGCAAATATTTAGATAAAGCTTTAAACTCTTGGGTCCTTAATCCATTCAGGCCTTTCCTAAGCATATAGGTGGTCCCAGATACTAAGGAAACAACTGTAGCTGCTTATATCTAAAAAGCCTAAAAGGAGATGATGTGAAAACAAGATGCTATCCATAAAACACTGGGATCATTAGTGCCTTGTCATTTTGTGTCAGAAATAATGCAAAAATGTGTCAATATGCTTCCTTAGGTTCCAGCATGGCTTAGAGGGCCTTAGAAAATAGTCTCCAGGTAACATTTTTAAAGGTGGAGGCAAAAAAGGGGATGGGGTGTTACATATATCCTAAAAAGTTCAAGTGAAACAACTCCAGATTTGGCTCTGGGCCTGGCATCTGAGCTGAGGGAAACCCAATCTGTTGTGTGACCCATTGTTGGAAGCTTAAAAACCTCAAGCTTAGGAAACTTTCACCAATGAGAACCCAGTAACCTAATAGTAGACTATGACATCTCCAACAGCATTCTTTTCAGGAATTAGATTTTATGGAGTACTGATCAACATGTCTCTAAATTTGAACAGGAATAGCATCCCAGAAAAGTTCAAATCAAAGCAACTTAAAAGGATCTAAAAGATGATGTACTCAGTGATCATCTATACAGCAGCTTTCAAAATACTGATCACTGCCAAGTCTTTTAGTTTTATTTTTTTTTAAGTTAGGGTCTTCCTATATAGTCCAAGCTGGCCTGGACCTTAAAGCTTACATTCTTCCTCTTCCTCATGTCTCTGCTTTCTCAATAACTGCCAAAGCCTTTGGTCATTTGTATGAGGCAGAAAAGTATGGCCATTATAGAAGAATCGGAAGGAAGTGTGAACCATGTGACTTATGGGCACCTGCAGTCTACAGAAAAGGTGCCACTTTATGACACCTAGGTAGCTCTCTAGACAAAACAGAATTAGCTTGGGTAGGCCTTGGTCCTCAAAAGAAAAAATATAGTCACTTGTTCAGAATTATAAACAGGTAGCTAATACTTTTAAATTATAAAACAGCATGATTAGGCCAGTTACATTTCTCCATTTTTGTCTTGTTAAGAAGTTATCTTTTAAGAGAACTTAACAATTTTGCTAAGGGCTAATATTCACTGTACTCTTCTGGAGACCAGGATTTACTATGTAACAATTTGTATAGTTAGTAACTAGCTTGTTCTCTACTTTCCTAATCCTACAATTGAACGAAAACCATTTTGCCAAGAAAAAATTGACTTGAACAATCCTTTGGTGATAGGACTGTCCCGCAGGTGTCATCTACAGGAACTGTCCTAGTCACAGCTCAGGAGCAGTCTCACCTCCGCACACTTCTGAACAGTGTCAGGACCTACTCCACCGTCGACCTCTATATCCAGAGTTGGGAACTGGGTCCTCAGCCAGTGAACCTAGACATGCACAAAGAAACAGTGACTCCTACAGTGGACACGCAGGGACAAGCAACCAAGCACACAAAACACCATGGCTGACACTAGCAATACAACACTAAGCCTGTCACACAGATGTACACACACAAATGTTGTGACTATATATATATATATATATAGTCACAACATTTTTGGGGGTCACTTTTAATTAGACTGGCGCATTCTGTGTTTATAGGAGCTATTTAGCAAATGACATTCAATTTGAGATAGCTTTGCCAAAGACTAATGAAAACTCTCATGTGACCCAAGGTCACAAAAAATAAGCTTAAAATTTTTGCAATATGATTAAGATGAGTTTATATTTTAGAACCTATCATGCTGTATTACAGTGTGTGAAGGCATCTCTGTCCCCTCATCTCCAAAACAGGACATGTCTCAATGACATATCTGTCTACTGAATACACACCTATAGTAAAAACCTTACCCCAGAATAGAATACTTCTTTTACCTTGGGCATCATATCTTCCATGAATTTCTGCCCTCCAAACCCAGGTTCTACAGTCATTACCAAGGCCATATCTATTTGATTAGCCCATGGGGCCAAATATTCAACTGTAGTTCCCGGTTTGATGGCAAGGCCAACCTGTAACAGACAAATGCTAAATCATATTACTTCTTTATCGTATCATTGTAGCCTAGTTAAAAAAACAAAACAAAACAAAAAAATAATCAACGTACAAAACAGAACATGTAAATTATCCAGAGTATAACATCAGCTTTTTTGTTTTGTTTTTGGTTAATTTGGCTTTATTTTTGCTACCTTATTTTTTGTTTTTTAATTGATATTTGATTTGTTTTTAATTGATAATTCATATTTAATTAATATTTGATCATGCCCTCAACTCCTCCCAGATCTTTCCTATCCATTAAGCTTTATATTCTCTCCCTCTCTTTCTTAAAAACAATATACAAGCAAACATACACGAAACCAAAAATCAAACAAAAAAAAAGTGACAAAAAAGCCAAAACAAAACAAACCCACAAAGAGCAAACAAACAAACAAACAAAAAACCATAGAGTTCATTTTGCATTAGAACACTGCTCCTGGGTCTGCATTAGAGGTATGGTTGATAGACCCAGCAAAACTCCACTGTAGAAAATTATTTTTTCCTCACCTGTGGGTATCAATTGCAAATAGCTTTTTTTAGGGGTTGGGCCCTGTGTGTCCACTTCCCCCTCTCTGTGACAACTTCAGGCCATTCAGGATCGTAGTATTCTTTTTTTTAAAGGTAACATGGCCAGTAAATGTGAATGATTCCAAAGGCAGAGACCTTCAGAAACATAGTGAAATGTACCTTCCAAACATTTTATACTTTAACTCTGGCCTCCCAGGTACCCACCTCCAGTCCCTTCCCTATCATTTTTCTCCTACTACTCTTTCAAGCTTTGACAAGCTTTGAACTAGTATAAAATAAGTCTCTGATCATCGACTTACCTTCATCCCATTCTCCCGGATGTCTTTAATCAAAGCCCCTGGGTTCTCAGTTGCCTCAAGATGAAAGGTATATTGATTGGCACCTGCCACAGCCATTGGTTTTACCCACTGTTCTGGCCTAGACACCATCATGTGCATGTCTAGGAAGAAGAGACACCTCCTGTACATTACTGAGAGGAACATACCAGCTGAGAGCATGAAGTCAGCCTATGTGTTTGATTTCATTATTGTCCCTATGTCTACAAATTTCCTGGCCTTACAGAGTGATCAGTCATACGCTGGTATAGACAGCCTTCATCCTAAAGATACAGTTTGGTTATATTCACTTAGTAAAACTTTTACATAAAAAGCACATGCTGCTATATACAAAAAGCAATGAGGTCAGAAAACAGGTGTCGGTCTAGGAGATGACACGTTAAAAAGTTTAAAGAAGTCACACTACCCACACAGCCTTGCTCTCTCTCCTACGCTCCTTCTGGTGACCTCTACTGAACTGTTACAGCACCATGAACTGATGCTCTCGGTGCCAGGAATTGAGCTGTTTCTCTCCTGCCTTACGAAATCCTTCTTAGTGAGACAATAAACACAGCAAGATAGAGTTCACACTAGGTTGAGCAGCTAAAGCCAGCAAAACTGGGATTGGACTGCACTGGGAGGACATGATGTCAGAGAGACAGGCATCTAGGGAGGTCAGCAGAGCTCTGGGCTGCTGGGGTTTATTGCTAATGAGACAGGGAAAATGAAGGCTCAGTGAAGTGACAGGGTGCAACCAAGGGGGCTACTGTGACAGGAACTCAAGTGAAAGCCACGTTCGAGGCACAGCCATCTAAAAGGTGAAAGGAAAATGTAGATTGTGCTAAATATCTGGCCCGAGGAAGCAGAGCTGCAGTTCCCTGAGTGACATATAAGAGAGAAGGCAGGCTAGCAAGGGAGGCTGGCACAAATACAGTGCTGAGCACAAATACAGTGAGTACAACACAGGCATGGTCTTCCTAAAACTGAATGTGTCTCATGAGGAAAGTGCTGCTTTAAAGAGGGGAGACCACAGACTAACCCTGTAACGAATTCTGTGTGGGACAGCATGGAGAGATTTTTTTGTTAGAGGAAGTACATTTCTGGCCTTGCTAAGCTATATTTTAAAAAGAATTTCTAACACTTCAGAACTTAATTAAGATTATAAAATTCAAAAGCTTTGGAAAAGAGTTAGACAATAACACCAGTAGTACACAATTCTGAACTAACAAAAACATGTTTCTAGGTACAAACTTCACATAAGATCAGCAGTCCTTCAACAGAGCTCTCTGGTTGACGCCGGCTAGATGGACAGATGTAATGTGTATTAGATATTCGAATTAAGACTTGTCAAAGTGCTAATTAATACACGAAATACTAAGAGATTACATCAGACCTCCTTTTGCAGTTTACTTTGTATAGCTTCATTTTGGATGTGTCAACTGTACTTTAAAAATATTAAACAGAAGCCCAGCGTGGGGGTGCATGCCTGTAATCTCAGCACTTGGGGAGGCAAAGGCAGGAGGATCTCTGTGAGTTTGAGGGCAACCTGGTCTACAAAGTGAGTTCAGGACAACCAAGGCTACACAGAAAAACCCTATCTCAATAAACCAAAACAACAATAACAAAATATTAAACAGAGAGGCTGGAAAGATAGCTCAGGAGTTAAGAACACAGTCTGCTCTTCATAAGACCTGTTTCAATTCCCAGCACTTACATGGCAGCTAACAACTGTCTGTAACCCCAATCTCATGGGACCCAAGAACCCTCTTATAGCCTCCCCTGGCCACAGGCATACAAGTGGTTCATAGACATACCTGCAGGCAAAATACCCATACACATAAAATAAAGTTATTAAAAAAATCAAACACAAAGTTGGAGAAACACACACTTGGTAAGTTCTACATTGTGTGCCCCACACCGCATGGAGTCATTCCTGACTGGTGTACACACACTATACAGCACTGCCAGTTAACCACTTGGCAGCTGGCTGACGTGATCACACCCAATGTACAGGCATCACAGTGTTTATGATCAAGTAACCCTATTTCCAGAAAATTATTTTTGTTTGTGTGTGTGTGTTTAAGTACAGGTGTGTGCATGCCATGGCATGAATGTGGAGGTCAGAGGATAACTGCTGGGAGTCGGGATGGAAAAAGGGATACAATTAGGCTGTCCCTACATAAAAAACACTTTTATCCTCTGCATTATCTTGTTGACCCCTAGTTTTTGCTTGCTATCAGCAACACAGCACAAGCATCATAATAGTGACAAATGGAACAAGTCAGAGATGCTTCCTTTAAGTATCACATTATTGCAAGGATTACAGTAAGAAAGTGTGACAGGGACTGCATTCCCATAATTACAGTACACTGTCCTGTTCTATTTTATCACGAGTTGTTGCTTACTAATTACTGTGTTTAATTATAAGTTAGGCTTTAACACAGATGTGTAAGAAAATCATAATGACACTATATCCTGCAGTAGCAAATATTCATCTAAGATATTCCTTATTGAAAAATAAGTACATTGTCTTGTTAGTATGCTAATATGCATTCATCTTTAATAAATTATAAAATCATTTGTATGCCAAAAAGTTGTTCTAAAATCAATTATTTCATGATTTATTACCAGTAAATGTACAGTTTATATGCTTATATATCTTTATACCCAAGGCTGTGTAAAAATTTCTCAGGAAAAAAAAAAGTCAAGGATAAAGAAAGTTTAAGAAACCTTGCTCTCTAACAGAACCAAAACATCTGAGCACAGGGGTCTTTCCTGAGACTCCTACTCCAACCAAGTACTATGCATGGAGATAACCTAAAACCCCTGCACAGATGTAGCCCATGGCAGTTCAGAGTCCAAGTGGGTTCCATAGTAATGGGAACAGGGACTGCCTCTGACATGAACTGATTGGCTTGCTCTTTGATCACCTCCCCCTGAGGGGGGAGCAGCCTTATCAGGCCACAGAGGAAGACAATGCAGCCAGCCACTCCTGATGGGATCTGATAAACTAAGATCAGAAGGAAGGAGAGGAGGACCTACTCTATCAGTGGACTTGGGGAGGGGCATGCGTGAAGAAGGGGGAAGGAAGGTGTGATTGGGGGGAGGAGGGAGAGGTTTATGGGGGGATACAAAGTGAATAAAGTATAATTAATAAAAGTTAAAAAAAAAAAAAAAAAGAAACCTTGCTCTCTACCAGGCATGGTTGTGCACATGGGACTATAGGAGTTTGGAGGTAGAGTCAGGAGGACTAAGAGTTCAAAGCCAGCCTGAGCTACATGAGATCTTGCCTCCCCTGTGGCCCCTTCCAAATACTGTTTTATGTGTATTGTACATTGTATGGGAGGCATCTGCTGAAAACAAGTGATAAATCACAAGTGGGAGTTAACAGTTCATATAACAGAGATGATTTTTTTTCCCAACTGTAGGCTGACTAAGTACTCTGCACAACTGACCTAGGAAAGGCTCACGTATGGCGTTTCGGAGGTTACCCATGTGCACTTTTGACTTATGTTTCACCCTACAATGTATTTATCGGAACACAGTCCTATGATAAAGTAAGGAGTATGTGTAGTTGGAGCTGAGCACAGAAGACAGCAGCTTTCTACAGTTTCTCTTTGCAAGCTCTTTGGCAAAGAAATCAAGGAAACTTGCAAGTGACAAACTGCGTCACCAAAGATATGTGCTGCAAACACATAGCTTACATACACACAGCAGAGAAGCATGGTTCCTTCCAGGAGGGATCCAACGCCCTGCACCACTGACCTGGTTACGACGCCAAAAAACTAATTTACCACTGATGTGCAAAATAACGTCCTAGTGTTATGGAAATGGCTTTGACCTCATAAATGATCTAAGAGGATTTCCCCAGTTCCCAACAGTATAGACCACTGCCTTAGATAATAAAGGCTTCTACTTGTTAGTTTATTTCGTACATGTCCGGTCTGCTAGCAGAACTGTAATAAAAGCATCTACAGAGGCTCAGGCTGGAGGATTCCAAGTTCATGGGGGGCCTGGGATACAAATAAGTTCTAAGCCAGTGAGGCCCTGTTTCAAAACTAAAAGTAGGACTAGAGGGACGGCATGGTGGATAAAAGTGCTAGCCATACAAGGTTGACGACCTGACTTTGATCTCTGGAAAAGCAGACCTAGTGGTGTAATCCCATTTATAGTCCCAGCATTCCTATGCTAAGATGGAAGGAAGAGAGAGAATTTTCTATCCAGGAAGCTCTCAGGCCAGCCAGGTGGAGTCTGCAGTAAGACAGATTCTGCCTCGGTAAGGTGGAAGGAGGGAAATGATTCCCAAAAGCTATCCCAACCTTCCGTCTACACTGTGTCACTGAGGTACATGCATGCCTGTACACACACACACACACACACACACACACACACACACACACACACACACCACACACCCAAATACATATAAAATTTTTAAAGAAATATAAAAAATTTCAAAGATTGTTTTTTTCTTTAAAATAGTAAAAAGTTGTGGTTGGAACTGGCATGTGCAAGGCCCCAGTCCAGATCTCCAGTTCCACCAACAAAAACCCCAGAACCTTAAAGGTTGTACATAAAACTTATGAACTACTTGTTTATTTATCTTTAAAGATTTTACTTTCAATTATGTATGTATCTGTGTGGGGGTATGTGCACATAAGTACAGGTGCTCGCAGAGGCCAGAAGAGGGAGTTACAGGTGGTTGTGAGCCATCTGACTTGGGTACTGGAAATCAAACCCTGGTCCTTTGTACTCTTAACTGAAGAACCATCTTTAGCCCTGGTCTACTTCTTAAAATGCAGTCATGTATCCATTTTATCTAACAACTAAACCAAAATGCATAGCTTATTAAAAAACAAACAAACAAACAAATGGCTCAAACCCCTAGTATCAACGGAATGTATTCACCTTTATATTGGACAAATTTCCTAAAATATTAATTAGCAAATTTATATACATATACATAATACTGAAAAGTGAAACTATGAGTCAGAATAAAAAGGAAAAACAGGAGAACTACATGAGCAGTGGGATGTGTGGCTACTGTCTGTAGGAACAGATAACTTATTTCCCCACTTCTCATAAGGTACGAAATTTAATTTTAAAAGTCATGGCACACATTACGGGCAGATTAAAGAAGAAGCACTAGGAAAACTCCTTTCCAAAATAATCTTTAACACAATCAAGACCAAATTCAACTACATAAAATTTAAAAAGACAAACATGTTCATAGACAAGAAATAATAATGCACATTTTCTTTGGTTCTCTCAAAATGGATGATTTCATTCAGCCTGCATGAGTTGAGGGATGGCTATAAACAAGACCAACACAAGGCTTCCTTTATATGAGATCTTTGGTTTTATTTACTGTTTGTAACTCAACTATGTGATTTTTGGGTGTGAATTTTGTATTCGACAATAGCATGTTGCATGTCTAAAGGTTGGACACTCAGAACAGTCTGCATTAGGAGTGATGTCCTGTGGCTGTGCTGCTGTTGACACTCAAAAGACACATGCAGCTACTGAGGACTTGTAATGTGCCTATTGTAAATGAGAAACTACATTTCTGTTTTAAGAAGCTAAATATGGGTTTTAGAGCTGTACTAAACAGTACAGCTACAGTCCTCCATAAAATTGTTCTACTGGCAAAAAAATTGTTTTACTTAATTATACAAGTTACATAAAACATTATGAATTTGGATCTGTATCAGTTCAAATAACTTCTAGGTTGGAGTGATCTAAAAAGAAAAACAATAACAACAAAAAACAAACAACAACAACAAAACCTTCATCTTTACTACCCTATGACACTGAAATGAAGCATATCCTCAGAAAGCGCACATCTGAAAGAAAGAAATTGGCTGTTGGAGCACTTACTTGAATCATAAATCCAACTACTAGTTACTCAAATGTAATATGTCTGTTTAGCCTAAGATGTGGCAGAGAGAGGACACAGCAGGTAAGAGGATGATGGGCTGCTTCTCCACAGGAACCCAGCTCAGTTCCTTGCACCCACATGGTGGCTCACAGCCTTCCGTAACTCCAGTTTCAGCAGATCCAGTGCCATCTTCTGGCCTCAGAGGACGCTGTACACACATACATCCCAACAAATAACTTAGAGTAAAGGAAAAATTACAAGGTGAGTTCTGTCTCTTCCCTCACAGATCTTACAATCTGACAGTCTGCAACTAATGTATGCTCTAAAAACAGACTGAAAAGTGGATCAAAGTTAATCTGGACTCAGTGCTTAGAAAGGCCTCTCTGAGCAGATGATAAGTGACCAGATAGCTGCGGCTGAGACCCTCAGCAAGGAATTTTTCTAGGCAGAATCTGGTTCAAGGGCCTAGGGAAGGGAAGGTGTTGGATTGCTATGATCAAGCAAATGAAGCCACAGCACAAGAGAAGAGTGCAAGATGAACTTGATCAACCAAATCCATTTTTCTTTAAGCAATATAATCAGTTTTAAATTGTATAACAACACACTTACCAAAGAAAGGGTCCTGGCCTAGCTGCTTCCGGAGGCTTTCGACCACAGGGTGACCAAAAGTGATGTTGGGAACAAAATGCCTACAAGAAAAAGGAAAATCTTACTCCAAAAACATTTTCAATTTAACTTCTGCATTGCTCAGTATGAATTCAGACAAAAGAACAGGGGATATTTGATTTGCATTTTTCCTCAAATAATCCTTAACATCTTTTTTTAATATTAAACAAAATTTAAAAAAATAAACAGGTAAGATCAAGTTTATAATTAAGGTATGCTGTAACATATCTTCTTGACAAGTCTGTAAATCATAACCCATGGCAACCAAAAATGGAAAGATGACAAAAGACAGTTCCGTACTTGCTCAAGTGATACTAGTTAATAAAGGATTCTAACACAGGTGTCCCTAATCTTAGCCTCTAGTCCACTTCAATAACAGACCATTAAATTACAGCTTATTTAAACAATAACCATTAAAAAAATAACCTGATGCCTCTCAGAGCTAGTCATAGTATACCGAGAGCTTAGTTCATACCAGGTATTGTATGACTAGTTAACGAGCTTTGATTTAGATTCCCTTTGAAGAACATACTAACACCTTTTAATAATAAAGGCTGGTTAATAATCTGTGGAGCAGAATTCAAATTAGGTCAGTCTGATACCAACCCCAAAGCAACCTTTAACCTCCTTGGTTCATCTTCCTGTCATATCGCTTGCTCATTTCAGAATTTAGAAAAATCCCTTCCCACATGTAGGTCCTAGGCTAGGTGCAACATGTACTGTGTTTGCTAAAGAAACAAGCCAAGAGTTTACACTCCCATCTAATCCCAGCTCGCAGGCGAGAAACGAACGAGAGGGTCAACAAGTCATCATAACTCTCCATCTACAGCTGCAGGATAGTTTTAAGTAGGAAGCTAACCCACCAAAGGACTATTGTGATAATTCCCAGCTCTTCCTGTGATAATTCTCATCAATGGTCTCTGAGTTTAAGTGGTGAATGTTACTGTAGACTCTAGAACATAGAAAGCACGAGCTGAGCAGTCCTAATCGGAAATCCTATAAAACTGGGGAAAATCAATCCGATGCCACAAAAAACAAATTTTATTTAATATATGACAGGCTGTAGGTACACTAACAAGATGGTTTAAATTTTTGTGGTAGTGTACTTCCCCAAGACCTGGGAGGTTCAGAGAAGAAGGTCAAGAGTTCAAGGTCACCCTCAGCTACTCAGAGATCCTACCTCAAAAAAAGAAAGAAAAAAAAAAGACTATAGAAAATTACAGGAACTGTACATAAAGTTTCAAAAGACCTAAATGAACTTAGGCCTGGGTCCTAATCCCAAAGTAACTTATAGGTATACAAAAATATTCTGAGATCCAAGTAAAACCCCAAAACTGAGACAATTCTGTTCATAAATATGAGAGAAATTCAACCTGCACCCCTTTCCTATTCTCACTTTACTATCAGCCAATAAAACTCTTTATGAATAGAACCATGGGATGGAAGAAGATGAAATCCCAGAACATGTGCATGGAAAGACACTCACACTCACCTGCAACATTAGCAAGAAATCAACTATAGTGCTATGTTCCTGAAATCTAGGCTTTGAGAAAAGCTAAGCAATAATGCCCATGGGAATGTGAAGAAAGAAAATAGCAAAAGTAGGATTAAAATAAAAGCAAGGCTTCTGTGGAATTCTGAAACATTAGAAGATCACAGGACTTATGGAACGTTGAGATGTGTAGGATCAGAAACAGCTGAAAAGGAAGCAAAGGTAGAAATAAGCAAGTTTAGGTCAAGGGGGAAAGGGTGTTGACCAAACCAAGAGTAGATGCCATCAGATTAAGGGTGTCCAATGCTACATGCAGGTGTTTGGAGTTTATTGCACTATAAATGTCTAGTGGGATAATAGGGCAAGAAGCAATAATAAAATACAAAAAACAAAACATGAAGATGGATTAGGCAGTAAGCTCCAAGAAGGAAGTCAGGTATTAATGCCAAGAATCCATAAAAATGACAAAGTAGGTAAAGCTAAGAGGGTCTGTCAATTAACAATTAAATGCAACAGGAGGTGAAAGAGTCAATCATGGTTAGGGTGTTTGTTTGTGACACAGGGTTTCTCCAAGTAGCTTTAGCTGTCCTGGAACTCCAACTGTAAACCAGGCTGGCCTTGAATTCAGAGATCCACCTGATCCTAATGCCTCTGCCTTACCGGGGCAGGTGAGAGGTGTGAGCCACCACCGCCCATCAATTAAGGCTTTTTAAGTTTAGATGACAGACAAGAGAACTCTTAAAGAGCTTAGAGTCTAGGTACAAGTTGCAAACACTTCCCATACATTTAACTCTAAATGTGGTAGCCCATGAGGCAGTAGCTCCTGTGCTTTACAGGCAAGGGAATATAGCCCAGTGTCATACAATCAGAAAGCGTTGGTGATAGGAGTGAACACAGGCAGTAACTACAAAGTCCACTCTTTATCATGGAATTCACCTGCCAGTACCGTGACAACTACAACAACAGACCTAGGGAGAGAGTGCAGAAACTCACACTCTGAATACGCCCTAGCAGGACACAATGCGTGGACCAGTGTGGCGAAGTGCTCTAATCAACCGATCCTTGGAGGTTCCATTTTTAAGTACTGAGAAGATTTTTCCACTGCCTGTCTTGAAAAATCACCAGTGGGGCTTGATGCCTCCAGAAATAGGGTTGGCTAAGCAGGCAGCAACCCCAATGACTACCCTACTTTACAGAAAAGTCTTTAGTTACACATACTGTTCTTTTAATTCATTGTGTAGCCTTGAAAATTTGTTTGTTCAAATTTAGGCTTCATTTATTATGAAAAAAAAAATAGTTATAAAAGATGGAATGAGAAGCTGAGAATGAAATAAATACAAATCTACTTGACTCTCAAGTTATGTGGATAATATGTGCTCCTGGTGATGAACTTAGTGAATCAGGTTTACTAATTTCACTGAGAGCACAAAATGCACTAATATTCTCACAAGAAACTAAAGGTTTGTGGTTAAGCGAAAACCAAAAAACAGCAAAAATCCAGACATGAAATCAGATGTCTTGGAATTGTCTTACAATATGAATTACCAAGGCATTAACAGCCTCTTCATGAAGGCTACTGAGGTTCCAAAAACCTAAGAACATGAATTTTTAACAAAGGCCTCAGATTTCTTGCCAGACTAGAAAATTCTAAATTCATTCATTCTAAAGAAAAGGAATTCAACAGAAAAGCCAGCTTCATCATTATTTTATTCTCACATTTCCCTCCTCAAGTTCAATTCTTTGGAGTAAAGCCTGAAAGAAATAAAATTCATCAAAGGTGTCTCCTTTCAGAAATCTGGGGACTTGCTGGGACTAAGCTATAGCTACTGTTTGGGAACGCAAGTTTCCTCTCTCATCACATTCCATCACCAGTCCTATGCTTTAGTTATAACTGGAATGCAGTCTACTGCAAACCAACAAACGGATTAAGGTCAGTACAAAATGTACCAAGACTAGAACCAGCAGTCTTCCTGTGAATCAGGAATCACACAGTCGCTGGCTGGTAGCAGCTGGCAGACAACATTAAGAAGCAAAACTGAGCAGATGAGACAGGCTGGAGGGGGTAAGGCACAGGACACAATAAGTAACTGGCGAAAGGCACTTGCCTCACTCAGCTCCAGCTCACCATGGTCTTACCAGAATCCAGAACCTAGTGGCCAAGTCTTTGATAGACCCCACCATGCCCTAGCCCCAAGTCAGAAATTCAGTACTCATGTGAAAACTCCCCAAGGTAAAATCCTGACGATTCATTTACAAATAGTCATTTGGGACCAACATATCATGGCCCCCATCTTGTCACGGTGTGTTTTGTGCTTTTCTCAAAATGTTTTTTCTAGAAAATAAACCAGTTTTTGAATTTTTTTTTTTTTTTTTTAGATATCTACCCATAATTGTGTCTGGCCCCCTAGTGTTTTCCAACCCAGTTTCTGACTTTCTGGATAAATTCGGTTTTAAGCAGGAAAAACCAAATGGGGCAGGGGTGGGGGTGTTAAGCAGAGAAGGGAAGGAAATATTTTGAGGCTGACCACCTTTGTAAAGGGACCCCAGAGTTCACTTTCGTACCACTGCCCCGGAGGCACTGCAGCACATGGCTAAGGAGGCCACATTGGCTCCATCAGGTTTGCTCTGCTCTCTCAGGGTGGTGGGAGGGAGGCTGTACTTCCCTAAAATGATTTCCTCTTTCAAAAACGAATAGAAACAGCTTTTACAAAAAAAAAAAAGTAAAGATTAAAAGGCTTGAAGAATTTAGGTTTTCCAAGCCAATGCTTCCCAGTAAAAACAGAACAATTAAAAAAAAAAAAATTAAAGTTTGCCTTATTTACTAAACTGAAGTCTGTGAGGGGCAAATGTGACTCTAAAAGATGCTTCCTGCTATTGGTAAGCAATGGTAAGATGGCTGCAGAGCTTTATTTCAAGATACCAAGGTGAAAAAGAAAGACAGACCCTGCTCTCAGGACAGAAGATGTCTTAATAATTCTGTGGAAGTCCAGGACCGACAAAAAGCATAGTTGGATGTTACACTGCTTCTAACCTTGGTTCCACCTGGATTTTTTTTTTTTTTGGGGGGGGGGGGGGGGCGGAAGCTACCAGACATGGCACTATACCTTATTCTTCACTGATAATAAACACATTAACAACAAAAAGTACCTGAACAGCCCCACAGGGCGCTGGCCCTACACAAGGAACTAGATAACTAAAGAATGCTGAGAGGAGACACAGTCTTATCCAATACCAAAAGGCCTCCTCAAAAAATATACACACAAGTAACATACAGACTGGGAAGATCATATTTCTATTTTTATGGATATATACGTGTGTGCTTTTATATATGTATGCAATAACAATGTAAAAAAAGGCCATGGATTTCAAAGAGAACAAGGAGGTAAATGGTGTATGAGAGGGTCCCAGGGAAAGGGAAGGGGAAATGATTTCATCATAATCTCAAAAATAAAATGTATTTTTAACAAAATACCACAAAAGTGATTCTAAACACTGCTATCATCAATATTACTATAAGCAAACTGAAAGGAATGTTTTCCATCCGTTCATTCTGTATCAAACAGACTCACACTTACGCTTGAAGCCCGTTCAGGCTGAGACCCCCTAAGTTCCCTCAGGCACCAAAAACCAACCACCATTTCCGTGGTACACACTCTGTAGTCAAGGGCTTTCAAGTAAGTGTCAAGAAAAACAAGAGATTTAACCAGAGAGCAAAAGGAGACAAAATTGCTACATAGAAGCCAAAGGGATTAAAAGGAAAAGGTGTAGCTGAGTGTGGTGGCAGGTGCCCGTAACTCCAGCATTTGGGGAAGATGAGGCAAGATTATGAGTTTGAGGCCAGTTTGATTTACGTAGACCTTTTCTCAAAAACAAAATGAACAGCAATACCCAGTTTCAGCCCCAACAAGAAAAGAAACTAATGGAGCTCTTGCAAAAAATACATATTTGCCAATGTGACTTAGGGCAAACAGATTTTTCATACTTGAAATAAATTTATTTTTCTACCTCAACCCAAGGCTGTATTTATAATTTTATGCGAACTTCAGGTGGGAAAAGCTAGTCAAAGCCAAGAAGATTCAAGTTCCAAGACTGTCACAATCTTCCGTAATCTTGAGCAAGTCTTACGGCCTCCTTTGGGTCTAGGTTTGTTTACTCACTTTATAACCAACTTAGGAAACTTGTACCCTGATTCTGAGCATTATAAGCTATAACTACAGTGCTTAAAGATTACTTACAAAAAACTGACCTCCCTGAAGAGCAGGGTGCCTGAAGAGAAAATAGACAGGAAAATCAGAATTCGAATGGTTATTCGATACAACAACTGCAGAGAATCTGTTACATGTCAGGCTCTGGACTTGCTCGTTTCATTTCTTTTTCCCCCCCGAAGACACGGAAGCGTTCTATTATCAATACTACTTCCATTTCCCTAACACTGAAACCGAACCTCAATGAAGGCTGAAGTGGCTTGTACGTCAGCAAGCGGTCGCGCTTAGGAATCACATCCAGGGGTCAAGCTCATCACCGTGGACCAGTCGGTCTCCCAGCTTGGTCAAGAACTAGTTATCTGAGTTTGAGTCATGCCTGTCCCGTCGGGGCCTCAGTTTCTCTACGAGTTCACGAAAGAAATGTCCTGAACCCTGAAGATGGCTCCGGGGTCTTACCACCACAGGTTAGTTACGGGGTGCGGGGAAGGACTGGGGACTGGGCCCCGAAGGCAGCCAGGGCCAGCTCGGTGCCCTGGGCAGCGCGCTTGCCGAGGCCGCCCGTCGGTCACACAGGGGCGCCGTGCACCCAACAGGCGCTCGCTGAGGTGCAGCGACGCGAACCGCGCGGCCAGCCCGCCCCGAGCCCCGCGGAGTTACCCGTCCATTACATCCAGGTGCAGGTAGTCGGCCCCCGAGTCCAGCATGCGCAGGCACTCGGCCCCCAGGTTGGCCAGGTCGCTGTTGAGGATGGATGGGCCGATCTTGCAGCCCGACGCCATGGTGCCGGTTCCCTAGAGCGAGTGAGCCCACGAGAGCCCGGGGCCAGCCAAGACTTCGTCCCGATTGGGCGCGCCGCTCTGGCTCCGCCCCCTCCCATCCCGCACTGTCTTCCGGACTCTGCCGGAAGCAGCTGCCCTGCGCCGAGGAAGTCCCGCCTCCCTGTGGGGGCGGGGCTATCAGATGGCTGGCTAGGGGCAGAGCCAGGCGCAGAGCAGAGCTCCGACCTCCTGTCATGGATTGCCAGGGCCTTCTGTCCTCTCAGTATAATGCCTTCTTTTTTATTTCGGCAGGAAAAATAGTTTATTGAATCTAATGCAAGAATGCAATGGGATGATCATGGGCTACTACCTACAATGTAGGAAATTATTTAATTTTTTTTTTTTACTATTTCATACGTGTATATCATATATTGTGATCAAATCCAGCCCCATTACCCTCTCTTTCTCCTCTGCCACTCATCCTGACCCCTTCCTTCTCCCCAGTTAATTCCTCTCCTACTTAAATATCTAAGTGTGTCTGTAGGTCTTGTGCAGGGAACCACAGCTGCTTGCGCACTCAATTGCAACAGCCCTGCCTTATCCGGTGGACAGTATTTCATAGCACCTACCCACCCTCTAGCTCTTAGTCTTTTGAGACTGTTGAGTAGTTGGTGTAGTAATTTCTTAGGCTTCTTTACTCTTTCCTGTCTTTACTTTACCTTCCTCTGCAGTAGACAGACTTGATAGAGTTGTTTATTATTTGGCTGTAATTCTTGAAATGGGTAAGGGTCCTAATGCCAAATGTATGTAGAGTCTAGGTCAGGAAGAAATGGGAATCTATGGGAAGAAAAACATGGACTGAACAAGAGCAATTCCTAAAGAACAAGGATAGGGTACCTCATAATTTTATTAACAACATAGCTGTTGGTAATTTGGATGCTATGGTTTCTATAGCCACAGTCAGAGGACAATAAAGTCTTTAATGTTCTGACTTGGGAATATACCAGCATTCCAGCAGGTCATAAAGTGAAATTGGCTCCCTGTCTTCCATATCTACATTCTGCTTTATTTTGAAAGGCAGGGGATGAGAAGTACCAGTAGGTGGATATCAGATGTGGAGGTAGAGGGACTGAAGGAGTTTACTGATTGGTGACTTTAGACAAGGTATAGAGTGGTGATGTGAAGAACAAGAGATAAATAAAGGAAGGCAACTCCAGGCCTTCAAAAGTCATCGTGAATGAGCTCGCTCATTCCCAATGGAGAGAAATGAAATTAGAGCACATTAAATGATTTTACATTTATTTTAATATATGTGCATATTCAAACACAGAAGTCATAAGCTTTCATAAATATCTTTCATAAACATCTCAATATTTATTCATATGCATTTTTCCATGCTCTTTGGTCATTCAGTATTCATAACAGACTTTATAGTCATTTGAGGGAAGTTGGCTGTATAGTCAATCCTTTGTTTTTACCTACAAAATGGCTAATAAAGGACTTTAATCCCATGGTCACAGTGACTATTAAAAAATATCATGGAGGTACGTAGATTTATGATCCTAAAATAAAATAAGTAAATTTATCATAAACTTTTCCAAATACATTCTGCCCTCAACTTGTTTTTATTCTCCTGAGTGTCAAATCAAAGTTTGCTACTGAAATGCTGCAGTTGAGACCCACAAAAGAAAGTGAGGAAGTGGGACAGTTTACTCACTGCTGAGACACAAGGCCATGGATTGGTAGTGTGAGGTCACAGAGTAAAAGTTGGACTCCATGTGACAGCAGCAAATTCTGGAGAGTTCTCTGGTAAAATATCCTGTATAACTCAAAGAAGGTATTTAGTTCATGTTTGGGGCTATAATTCTATTCCTTTATGACCCTTTCTTTCCTATAGATCTCTGTACATACACTATTATTTCCTTGGGAACTCTAGGAGGTGGGCAGCAATGTGGAGAAAGTTCTTCACTGACTGAAAAAACAAATGCTAAAAGAGAGATGCCATCCTGTCTTAAGTTACTTTTAGAGGCTTGAAGCAGGAAGCCAGCCGTTGCCTCCAGCACTGCCATGTGCCCAGTTGTGCCTTTTGACACTAGTCTTAGTGGTTTGTTCCAAGGCACTCAGTACTAACTTTCCTTGTCAGAAGAATCAAGAAATTTAATAGAATTATAGAAAGCTGTGAATGCTGAAAATGAAAGTAAAATATTTGTTCTAGAAATTTCTGCATCCAGGATTTAAACTGCGTTAGTCTGAATAGTACAAATCTGTACCCACTATCATGGATGATATGTTTTTATTCCAAGGTCTCTCTATAAAGTTACTTTCCAAAGGAGCAATCTTCATTGCATGTAATTTTTAATAACTGTAAAGTGGGTGCCTGTTTTATCCTTTCTTTGAATGAGATAAATATTATTAAGCATTACAGATTAAGAAATGTTCTATTTTTAGTAATATTAATATTTATATTGATCAAAAGTGACAATTCTTACTCACATTTTGAATATTACAAAAGATTGTCAATTAATTCAAATTTTTTGCTTATCTTCCCTAACTGTTTTCTTTAAGTTATTCTTTCAAACTCCAGGTAACAGTATTCCTGAGAATACATCTTGTGACAGTTTTATGCACATACATATAGATACTTTAGTCACCACACATAAACATTCAACACATTACATTCAACACGTTTAAGGACACCTTAAATGGAATAGATGCACACATCTGCCAAGTCTCAGAAGTTCCAACAATACGCAATTCTCAGAGTGGACATGTCTCTCTCTCTCTTCTTTTTTTCCTTTCAAGATAAAAACGCTACTTAGCTTATTGAAAAAGTTTCTAACAGATTTCCATACACGACAGTGAAGGAGTCAGGTTAAAAGGCAGACAGACCAGTAAAATCATTTCTCCAACAGCCCAACACATTTAAAATATATAAAGGTATTTAGGGTTATTATTGAATATTTAACAGTTCTTTGACCTCGATACTTCTTAAATATCTGACATGATTACAGAGATTTTGAATCAAGAATCCAGGAACAAAGCACAGACATATAGATGCACATAGATACTTGTAATTACCAAACATAAGGCCTCTAATGCTAATTGAGCAGCATAGTTTTTAACAGGCAAAATATCTTAGCTCAGAACCAGAAAACCACTGACAGGTCTACTTCTGTACTTAGAAATGGATATTCTGCGTTAAGTATAAGTGACATGAAGATGTTTTAACACATAAAAGAGGTTTACTTATCTCCTTCATGTCCCATACTCTTCTCAGTCAAAAGGCCAAGAGGTGGTACAGCCTTGATTTTCTGACATGGGGGATTTACAGATTAACTTTCATTCTCTTGGTGAAGGAGGCGATAGCCCCAAAATGTATTTGATTTTGTAAGTCACAATATAAGCTGTGCTTATTTAATAAACAATTCTAACATAAAAATCATTTTTCTTTATGATTTGTTTGGGTTTATAGGTCTTTTTCTATACATGTACATTTCATAGCTAACATAGTCAACATTTGAGCATATAGAATATATTTTAAACTCGTATCAACATAGTCAAAATCTCTGTTTAACATCTACTTGAAGACTAACACACACACACACACACACACACACATACATACACACCAATGTAGATATGTGTATGAGATTTCTCAATGCTCAGTACATTTTTCTAATGTAAACTGCTAAACTTTCAGAAACCATTGATGAACTGCATGATGTGGAGCCCTTCAATAATCTACTAAGTACTGACCTTACAAGTCTTTCAAATTGTTTTTTTTTTTTTTTGAAGTAACTGCACTTCAAGTTAAAGCCCTATTTGTCATATATACAAGCTGTCTGAGTCTATAAAGAAGTTGATTACTCTGACTTTTCCCCATTGACTGGAATCTCCTAAGAATCATAGAATATTTTTGACTACTGAGAAAAAGTTATTTTCTGATCTAGTGCTAACAACTTAACTTTAATGTATGAAAAGATGCCCTCAGGGGCAGGCACAAGGACTGTGAGGGAAAGTAACCCCCTTTCCCAATAGATCCTAATCTTGACATTGATGTAGTCAGGGCTAGAAGTAGGAATGCCATCTCTTTCAAGCAATGCTATTTACATTTAGCTTTTTATAATTATAGAGCTCTCTATGCTATTAATTCAGAATCATGTCTGAGAATTTCTAGAATATTCTCTGTCTAATACGATAGATATGAAATGGAATGATATGTGACATTAGAATTTTGATTTATAACATGTAATGAAAAGGACAGTTAAAAAATAAATTTTGAAAACTCCATAGCTCTAAAAATAGTATTTTGCTTTTTTTTTTTAAATAACTGGCTATATTATTGGCCAAAACAAAAAATGGCTGTAGGGTTTGTTATTTAGTTTCTCTAATTATTTTTCTTATCAATTGTTTTTTTAATGTAAATTGATATGCATATAGCCACCTAATGTAAAATTTTGAAACTACAAAAATAAACATTTTCATGAGATGTATAATGCATCTTAAAAGACTGCATTCCCTTTTAGAACATATCGTTAATATTACGAGGGCAGTAATATTATATATTCTCAAGCTGTCTGTAATAGTAGTATGTATTCCTAGCTGCTCAAAGCGTGCTATCTACAATGTGCAGTGAGATGGCTCTTTCCCCTATTCTTCTCTGTTTTCATGGTCTTCACACAACTAAAGACTTTTAGCTATTGATTTTTAGGATGTTTATGAAACATTAGGAGTTTGGGCAGCGAAATCCTCTCAGACTTACTGCCACCGAAGGGCTATGAAGTGCTGTTTTAGAGTTAATCACTTAGCTCGAAAGCATTCTACTGTCGGCAAGCGGAGCTCCTGCAGTACAGAACTAAACACGGAACTCATCCAGGGCTGCATCGGTCTCCCCCAGCTCTGGAGGAGTGAAAGTGAACTGGCTGGACAGCAGGGGGTTCTCCATGCCATTTTCCTCACTGATATGAAGGACAGTGTCTCCATGCTGTAGGAGGCTGGATGTCTCGAGGCCAGTGAAGTCATCAGGGTCGGACAGCTGAGTAGAGGGGGGGCTGTGTGCTGCGGCACCTTGTACCTCCGTATCCTCCTTCTTTTCTCCTTCTTCAGCATGAAGGAGCTCACTCTGTGATCAAAAGGATCATAACATCATATACAAGTAGGACGGGTCCCAGAAAAGAACATTTAAAAAATGTTGTATAGCTCTAACTGGACAAGAGATCAAAGGTGAATTCCAGCCTATGCTACAGGTAGGGTCTATAAGGGTCCCTCCAGCTTTCAAAGCCTTGGTTTTCTGTCCTTTGACATGAGCATTGACTTTCTGTGGGGAGGGAAGGGATCATGCTTATCCTATGGACTATAAAAACGAACTGATGTAAATGGTGTGTTATAGTTCCTTTTCACTACAAAAGCCTGTGCAAATATGTCTGCTAACATTACCAGATAGTTTTCTTTATATATCCCATCAGAATATGACGCCTATAGAAATTTATTTATATGAGCAAAAGAAAATATTAAAACAACGAGGAAAAAATTTCAAGTCCATCTGATCTTTAGGACACAGAAAACTATGTAAAGGCTTCATCAATGCTAGTAACTTCATTTGCTATAATTGAAAAACATTGCAACTATGTATCAAATTTCTGTTGTCCATGATTAATACAGCTGAAAAGTAATTTTTATGTTTTCCATTAAGAGTTCTTTTGGTCCTTAATAATTATAGGTACATTGTTAGCCAAACACTTTATATAGATTTTCTTTTTCGCAATGGCAGGAAGAGTATCTGTTTGGACAATAACATCTTACAGAACCAGACTTAATTATCTGGAAGAAACGTGAGCATCTAAGTGCTTCTCGTGGAGAAGAGTGCAGGGAGCAGGCCTTGCCTGTCTTCGCAGTACCCTCACCTGCTTGGGAGACAGGCTATGGAGATCCGCAACGACAATGGCGGGAGAGGATGTGAGCACTGGCTTGTCTGTTCCTTCTGGCTTCCCAGATAGGCCTGGGCTGCAGCCTTGTGTTTGGCCTGTGACAGGAAGCATGTCTGTGGGGGCAGCTGTTGGCTCTGGCTGAGCCTCGATGAATGTCACAGATCGCTTCTGGTCAGCTGCAAGTAAGAGATGAACCAATGAGAAGGAGACAAATTGACTGCTGATGCTTATTACTTTGGCATTAACCAGTGAGTCATAAAAACAATGGTCTTATGTGACCATTTTATGTATTTTGACTTCACCTTCTTACATAGAATAGGACTACAGAGAGAAAACCATCTCTACATAAGTGGTGTAAGATTTGCAAAGGTGAACGTATTATAATAAACCTCCTAGCGATGGATCCCAGAACTGAAAAGCCCCAAGAGTTATTTACTGTGCTTCTGCCTTTAGTAAGACACACAATATCCAACGTCCTGGACTGAGTAAAGATAATACAACCTTTTACATTCAAGTTTCAGAATATTAACAATTTACCTTGGGTTATTCCATTTACCTAGGTTCACTGGGAGTGGAGAAAGTTTGTGGAAGATGAAAAAGAAAAAGAAGGAGGAGGAAGAGAAGAAGAAAGTAGTGAGGTTTCCTGGGAAACATGTCTTAAGAATTCCCTAAAGGTGAGGTTATTCACATCAGCTCAGTTTCTGCAGGCTACTTGCCATCAGAACAGTGGTACAATCAGAAGGGACACAAGAGGCCTCCCTCACCAGATGGCTTTGTCTTCGGTTGAATGCTCCTGCGAGTGGTAGACAGTCGAGCGCCATGACGGTTTCTGAGTTCAGCTTGAGTCTTCTGCCTTGACAGGAGAGGGCGTCTTAGCTGAAGAAAACAGATAAAACAAAACTGGCAAGAAAGTACAACTGTCTAGGAACAGATATTGTGCTCAGGTAACCCTGACTTGACTGGTCCACTTGTTCCTTCTTGTAGCCATGGAGCATTCATGGACTTGAGATGCCAAATTTGAGATTTTTTAATTGAAAGGAAACAAAAATATAATGCTTAATACCTGACTTTTGCTTATCTAAAAGCTATGGTTGAACATATCTCAGCTGACAGAGAGTAAGAAACCTAAGCCTCTAGCAAAGCATCAGAGGTGAGAAGCACCCAGATATGACAAGAAGAGCTTCACTCAGATTTTTAATATATGAGCCAGGGTGGTAGTATATACCTGGAATCCCTGAATTCTCAGGAAACTGAGGCAGGAGGATTGAATGTGACACCAGCTTGGAGTATATAGTGAAAGCCTGTCCAGAAATTGAGAAATGAGAGGAGAGGGGTGTGAGGGGAAGATGGACGATGGGAGCAGAAGGAGCAGGGGTTGACAAAGGGAGGAACCTCACACTAGAAAATCTGTATTCTACTACCACTCCCAGGCTGGCCTCCAATTCTGTGTGACCAGGCTGGCCTTGAACTCTAGACCCTTCTCCCTCAGCCTCCTGTGTTCTGGGAATGTGGATATGTACCACAGCACCCAGCTAAAAATACGACCTTCCATTTCAGTAGTAAATCTCTAATCTCGGAGTGAGGAAGGACCTTTCTTTATCTCTCTGTAAAAGCAGGCATTCAGTGAACTGTGTAAGAGCCTGTGCAAGCCCTGCCAGTGAGTTTTCCTGGGAAAGAAACTTGCCAAGCAGAGAACAAGAAGACCTATAGGCCTGACCTACCTTATCAAATAATCAGCTTTGCACAATAAGAGATTCGTATTTGAAACAGAAGCCTCATTTGCTCAGCTTGCCCAAGCACTCACCATGTTCCAAGGTTGCTGTGAGCTGCTTATTTCAGGCTAGAGGGCCAAGTGTAATCTTAATAAACAATGACAAGCAAGTAGAGCGTCCACCTTAAAGAATGACTCTCTTAGCATTTCAGGGTCTTCTTACCTGCCTCAGGCCCCTCTTCCTCCCCAGTGGCTGCTGCAAGAGGACATTCTGCTGGCCAGGCTCACTCTGTACACTTGCCACCCTGCCAAGCATCAACAACATTAGTCTTCCCTGGAGACAGCGCAGAGGACCATTCTTTGATGGGTGTTAGCCAAAACCACTTATATGGAACAGTCACTTCAAAGATACCATTATCTTTGAAGGATGGTTGGGAAAGGGTCCCTGGGATAGGAGTTTTCAAAGGCTTGGAAAGGAGGACAAGGCCTTGTAGCCCCAAGCTGTCAAAATTGAGATTCTGTTTTCAATCACTGATGCTGTGTCTACCATTCAGCAGGACGATGGTTTGATCACACCCCTGGTTTATAAGCCATCAAAAAGCTTATCATGTTCTAATCTCAATTTTTTCCCAAGGGGAATGGAAACGCTGGTGACAAATACACACAAACAACTCTGTCACATAGATGGGAACACCTGTTTTAAAACTTCCAATTTAAATGAAAAATAAGATGGACAGATATTGAACACATCAGACACATTGCATTTGGGTGAAGGGACACATTCAACACATGTTTGCAGCCTGAAGTCTCTGTGACAGCTGGGCAAATCAGCAGATATAGAGGTAGGGAATTTAAATAAGTTTGAAGTTATTTTAGATTTAAAAGGCTGGCAAAGTATACTGTCAGGACAACTCAATTAGCTGCACTTGAACAAACTGTGCAGTTGAAAAAAAGGAGTAGTCTGCTCCCCCCAAATTTGCTGTGTATGTGTGTCTCTTATAAGCAAA